TTTCGTCATTATTTATTATAATATGTAATTTTTTATTGAAATCAGGAGAAAAATGTCTTTTCACATAGAAAAATAGTTAGTTTTCAAAAAACTTAAAAATTGTATTTTTTAAATTTAAAAACATAAATAGAATATTTTTCAAAAAATCCCTTTAAAATTTCTTTTGTTTGGAAGTCAGTCAACGTGGAGAGCTATCTTTTCGAAAAACCGAAGTAACAAACTTTGAGTCTTTGACATAACATTCTCATGTGTTAGAATATTCTTAAAAAAAAAAAAAAAATTCTCATGTGACACACCTTGTTGTTTAGTAGTGTTATCAAACAACAACAAAAAAATAGGACATATGTATTAAATTCATTTCATGGCCAACATTGAAAAGGAATTACTTGGAGTGGTTCCTATCGTACTCGGAAATATTACAGATGATACTACATGAGAACCAAGTTGAGGTGTATGTTTGCTAAGGAGATGCTTGAGTATTGACGTGGGTTAAGTTAAGAAAAGAAAAAAGATATTTACTTGGAGGAGATGCTCTTTATAAATATACTAGAGTAGGATCCGCGTTAATACGCGGGTAAATACTAAAAATTTTAATAAAATAAATATTTAAGTTTTAATTAGTAACCCGTTAAATTTTAAAATATTATTTAACGTAGATCCTAAAACCAGTAGAAATCAATTTATATCATAATTCTTATGTTCTAATATATATCATGCAAATCCAAAAATATATATTATCAGAATTTAAATCATATTCTTAATAACAGAAAAAAATTATTTTAATCCATCATGAATATTTATTATTATGTGATAGAAAATAAAAACAACTAAAAACTATATAGTTAAATAAGAAATTAGTAAATTTTATGTTAGTAACCGCATAAAAACTATCACATAAGTACATGATTGATAATTGTATTTTATTAATGTCATCGTTTTATTTCTCATAGAGATTTATTCTCGCCAAATTTTATAAAATATTAACTTAAAAAGTAAATATAATATATTATTTTTTAACTTATATAAATTTTCAATATATGCACTTGAAGAGTATCAATGGCATCATAGGTCGAATATTTCTATTTTCTTTGTGATATTTTATAAATATATATTGATAAAATAAGTATTCTGATAGATTTTATTTTTATTTTATTTTTGCATGGTTGTGTATATTTTTAAACTTTTAAATTGAGGTTTGTATAATCTTTCCAACTTTTGTTTTTCCAATTTATATACCTTCTTTTTATCATTCGTCTATTAACTTTTGTCTTTTTTTTTCCAATTTAAATATCATTCGTC